TTCCCAACCCCATGAGCCACGGTCGCCCCTATGTTATGGACATATGATCAGTTTCATTGATCAGTCAGGAGTTAAATCAGCTCCTTCAGTTCTCCTCGCCTCTGAGAGCCTTGCTGAGGTTCCCACACTGAGGGCGGGACGGTTTTATCCTGATAAACAGAATTTTAATGATTTTATAAGATGTCCCGTTGTCCTCTGGGAGGTTTAACACAGCTTCTGATCCACAGTGAGCACCACCCTGACCGTCCTGCCGCCTCCAACCGTCCGCTGCAAGCAGATGACTGTTTCTGGAAAACACCTCGCGGTCTTAAAAGGTACAGAACGCTCTTCATCATCACTGTGGTGACAGATGCTTGCATGTCAGGGAAGCCTCCAAGCTAAGCGACATAAACCCAGCTGTGTGCTGCAACATGAAGCTGAACAGGGCGGCGATCAGCAATAGATGCATTAACCTGACGTCCAGCATGCCAGCGCACCGCCGGCACGCCGAGGCGTCGCTGAGCCCCGTGAAACGGTCGAGTCTCTGCTCCGTGGTTGTGACTCTGATCAGCAGGACGATGTAGGAATATTTTGGTATTTAATCTAAAAGCACCAGCAGAGGGCGCTGTTTTTTAAATCATCGTTAAAGGCCGAAACGAATCCGTAAATAAAATAAAATCGATTCAGTTGCTTGGTTGCAGTGGTTTGATTCCAACTGTGATTCTGTTTCCTGTCCCACTGTCAGTGCTGAATGAGTCTTCTCAGGAGGAGGTGAGTGTTCGGGATGTTCGGATTTTACCGAACCTCAACGCCTCCTACCTTCCCGTGATGCCCGACGGCTCCGTGCTGCTGGTGGACAACGTGTGGTACGTACACGACCCGTTCAGATGGTTTGTGCTCAGCGTTCAGAAGGCGCTGCCGTGGCTGCTGCTGTCTCTGCGTGTTAGTTATGACTTTGTGTTTGTTACACTGTATTTAACGACAGTGTGTTGTGTATACCTTGTTACACATTTGTATCATTGCAGATAGTTTTTAGTAATGATGCTACTTTGTGTTATACTCGATTACTTTGAGTTCTGGGACTTTGTTAGTTGTAAAACGAGTTGTTGTGCAGTCAGATTGTGTGTTTCTGCGATGCTCCTGAATGTCTGTATTTGTTGTTCTTCGCTCTGCAGTCATCAGTCCGGTGAGGTCGGCATGGCGTCCTTCTGCCGGGTGGACAGCCTGGCCTGCCGTCTTCCCAGCATGCTCAGCGCTTTGGAGGAGCACGACTTCCTGTTCCAGCTGCACCTCAACGACATGCCGCAGGACGACTCCAGTGAGGTGCGTTCGTGTTGCGTTGTGTGTTTTATAGTTTGGTGCACAGTGCGCTCTGGTGACATGACAGTTTGTGTTCTCCTCGCGATTTCCTGAAGAAGGAAAAGTAAACGACGTGTTTCTGTGAACGGCTGTGTCAACGCAGGACTGCGACGGTCGGCGGATCGTTGCTGGATTAATGCGTCCTTTACTTATTTCGCTGCTGTCAGCATGTGTGTGCTTGTGTTCAGGGGCTGGAGGTTCCTCTGGTCGCTGTGCTGCAGTGGTCAACTTCCAAGATGCCTTTCACCAACTGCATCTACACCCACTACAGGTAAGGCTGGATGAAACGCTCCACGCGTGCTGTGTTAGTCTTGGTAAGAGATATCCAGGCTCGGGGCTGCAGACCTCTGCAGCAGGACGACACAGCGTTTAGTTTTTTCCTGCCGCTTCTCTAAATGACCCACCGTCCTCCCTCCCCTCCACTCAGGTTGCCCAGTATCCGTCTGGACCGGCCGCGCTTCGTCATGACGGCCAGCTGTCCGAGCGCCGTCAGGGTGAAGGAGCACTTCAAGGTCAAATACGTTCTTCTCAACAACCTGCAGGACTTCCTGGCTGTGCGGCTCGTCTGGACTCCAGAGGGTCAGCGAGTATTTTGATTCACGTTTGATGTTTTGAAAAAATCCACCCTGCAGCTGTTTGAAAGGAAACCTGTGAGCGGGTTTGTTTCTGGGACGCGTGGCAGTCTGTGGGGACTGAGCCTCTAGTGGACGTTAGGGGGAGTGCAGGCTTGGGCTCTTCGGCCCTCATGGTGCTTTGTCCAGCTGGTTCTGGTTGTGTTCTTCTCGTGGAGAATCGCGCTGCCCTCTGTCAGCCGCGGTTCAGACCGAGTAATGTGTTGTTTGCTTGCTCGCTCAGGTCGAGGTCAGGGGGAAGACGCAGCGCTGTCTGCCGTGGTCTGTCACACCCCTCTCAGTAACCTGGGTCACTGCCGCAAAGGAAGCACTCTGTCGTTCAGCGTGGCCTTCCAGATCCTCAAACCAGGACTGTACGAGGTACGCCGAGCTTTGAGCGCCTGCTTCCTTATCTCGCCCGCTCACACGGGACGTCATGTTTTCTCCTGTCTCTGCAGCTGAGTCAGCACATGAAGTTAAAGCTCCAGTTCACAGCGTCGGTGTCCAACCCTCCACCCGACGCCCGGCCCCTGTCACGTAAGCTCTGAGCAGGAAACAAACACAAAAGGCTTTGACCTGCGTCTGTTCTGATTTCTGTGTCGTGTCAAAACCATCCAGGTAAAAACAGCCCGTCCAGCCCGGCGGTTCGAGACCTCCTGGACCGACACCAGGCCAGTCTGGGGCGCTCTCAGTCCTTCTCCCACCAGCAGCCGTCTCGGTCCCACATCATGAGGTAACTTTAGTAACTTCAGCTTCATATCACATCGAGTATGTCGTTTCATCTTATCTGTGTGCGACAGGACGGGCAGCGCCATGGAGCGACGGGCCATCACGCCTCCCGTTGGCTCTCCGGTCGGTCGGCCGCTCTACCTGCCGCCGCAGGACAAGTCGCTGCTGTCGCTGGACAAGATCGCCAAGAGGGAGTGCAAAGTCCTGGTGGTGGATCCTGTCAGCTAGGCAGCGAGAGGAGAGGCTTTTATTTTGATAGAGAAACGCTCACGAGAAGAGATGACAAAGAAGCTGACTTCATGTTACTGCAGGAAACACTCCTGTGTTTGATCAGCTGACCAATCAGAACAACGAGGAAGAAGTTCATCCTTCAGCTGAAATATTTCATGTTTTATTGTATTTAAAGACACGTTGGGTTTTCCAGCTCGTTTCCTGGAAGCGTTCTTTAAAGTTTTATCTTATATTTATCTTTAAAGCATCGTCCAGATGGAGCCACTGAATCGTTTTATGCTCCAGGTGTGTTTTACAGGATGAAAGCTGCAAACACGCAGCTCAGCTCCACAAAGAGCTGAAGAACTGAGAATTTATTTTACATTGTTTAGTAAAGTTTCCAGGAAATGAGCTGGAAAGTGCCAAACCTGCAAAATAAAGTGTTAGCTTTTTACTTCTGTGTTATTTTCAGAGTAAAAGACATTACAGGTTAAAAACGTATTAACCTGAGGACAGTCACAGTTAACGTTTTCTTTCAGTGTTATTTCCTCCATCGCGTCACAAACGGTAACTTCAGCAGAATGTTGCTAATAAAATGAATGTAATGGTCCAGGCTGTTGTTGTGAGTCTGCAGACACCCGGAGCTCCCTCACAGCGTCCCTCTGAGGACACTCAGCCTTTTTTTAAAGAGCAGCACGAGTCTGCCGCCTTGCTCACGGTGTTCTGGTTCATCCTGGTTATTAACTGGTGCACATTAGCAAGACAAACTCATGAAAACTCAGGAATTCAGCTGGGATGCAGGCAGGAATCTCCAGCACTCAACCTGGGAAAACAGTTTTTTTCTGGCTCTGGCTATACTTGATGTTTTTAGGGGAGGGGCTACTGTGTCAGCGGTAGCTCCTCCCACTCCAGGTAATAACAGGGACCATCATTGCGTTAATTTATCGCAGTTCTTGGTTTATCATTAGTGAAACAATAAGCTACCAGCGAGGACACAGATGTAGCCAGAATGTATCTGCTGTCACTGATAAAAATCAACACATGAGAAGAAATGAGCGTTTCTTTAACGTCAGAGGTCACATGATGCACCCAGGCATTTGATTGGCTCTGCTCTGTTCTCTGTGTACTTCTACGTTCTTGAAGACATTTCATCCAAGAAGCTTTTGCAGATCAGGAAGGATCTCAAAACTGGACTGCAGACAGTTGGCGTCACTAGCCCCGCCTCCGTTCGAAGATGGCCGTTCACAGTGGACATAGGCTGTAGCTGTGTCCCAAAACGTCGGCTGCATCCCCCGGAGGCCGCATTTGAAGGCCGATTACGTCACAGCCAGGCGATGAAGGCTGTCCAAATTCATAGACTCCTTCAAATGCGTCCTTCATTTCCCCGAATTCGAAGGATGGGTCGGGTATGTCCTTCGTGGCCCACCATATCCCAGAATTCATAGCCCAGCCAAATTTCAGCTGCCAACAATGGCGGCCGCTACTAAGTTTTAAAATTAGTCTTATTAATCTTTCTGGGTCACAAAAAATTTTTTTAACATATATTAAGGT